AACAAATATGCTCTTATACTCATTAATATCTCAACTGGTAATTTTGGTAGGAATTTATCAGGGTGGGGCAGTGTGCTTGTCTGTATTTGTGTATGGCAGGAGGGACATATGCGGTAGGGGGCCAGTGCCCCAGTAAAGCTTTGTGCCTAGCAACGCCCCTGCATTAAGATAATCAAAATGTTACAGTTACAGCAGCGAGAGAAAGCGATATTTGCTCTGCACCCTCCGTCTGTTGCCCGTCGCAATTATACAATTACATACATTATATTATATACATACAACACAAATGAGGGTACAGAGTGGTGTACAAAATGACAGATTTAAATTTTGACCTTCAGTGAAATATTCAGATTTTGTTTCAAAGCTTTAAGTTCTGATACTAAAATCTATTTAATACAAATTGCTCAATGAAAAGCATGAAAATAAATAATATTTTTTTTAATTTTCAAATAATTTATTGCATTTTTCCTAGTCTAATCTCCTTTTTATATAAAATTGAAATCTAGGGTGACTGGATGTCCTGTTTTTTCTGGACATGTCCTGCTTTTTCATACCAAAAAAAAACATCCGGGGGGAATTTCAAAATCGTCCGGGATTGTGGTCGACTACAGTGCAGCAGAACCAAGCCGTCAGCTCCAGGGCTGGTCCGGGAACTCCGGCGGACAGTTGGGTGGGAGCCAGCTGGGGATAGAGCGGTAGCCCGTGGTCCCATGCATCCCCGGTAGGGGAAGCATAACGTCACCAGGTTGGCTCCGGATCCAGACCAGCCCTGGAGCTGATGACTCGCTTCAAATGCCCGGTCCGGTCTGGACAGAGGCCCAGCAGCCAGCCAACCTTCTTTTCAAAAAATCAAAGCTGGTCACCCTATTGAAATCAAAACTGTTTATGGTCTTACCTTTATTTGTAGACGAAGGCCATACCCCTATTGTACGAACAAAAATCTCAGTGACTTTGTTGTAAAAGTCATTCCTTTTTATTTTCCTTCAGTTTTAAAAGTCTCTCGGTCTATATAGAGATGATCCCCAGGGAGGAAAGTCGTCCTGTATCAGTCCTATTCTGATTGTATGTTTTCAGTCTTTTCAATGCAGTGAATGACCTTTCCGTAGAGATTGTTGTGGCTGGCACTTTGAGCACCAGTTGGACTAACTTTTATATCTCAGGGACAGTCTGTACAGTAGCAGATCATTCTGGGCCAAAAAACTGGAAGCTGTTCAGGAGATTTGTTTTAATTCCTCACGGTTTGTGAGCTGTACAGTTTGAATTCTTCAGCTCCGACATTGGTCTTCTGTTTTTAATCACTTGCTCCTTGGACTGAAGGTCCAGTTTTTTTTTTTTTTTTTTTAACTTTTCTTGTCATCCATGTAAAACAAAAAAAATTGTGGTTCGCAGAAGTGCACTTGACTCCTACTTGTCTCTGAGATTGAGAGAATTAATCAATCAACCTCTGTGCTGGTTCATGCATGCCCATCTTCAGTGCCGCTGAGTACTGCCCTGCCTCCTCCTGTGCCTTTTCACTGCAGTTTTAGTTCCATCACCAAAACTAAATATGTCACTAACAAACATTAAACATAACTGGTTAAAGACATTAACAAAACTGAGGAAAATAAAGGTATATCAACATTATATTGGCGACATGCAGTGATGCCAATTGAATATGTCAAACCATTTTGCGATGGATTGCGTAATTAGAGGTGAGGCTTGGCTAGTTGTTGCCACACCTTGCGTTTCACCCTTGTTTTTGAACTGGCAATATGCGATTTCAGAGATTTTGATTATGAAAAGGTTCATAATAATTCATTCATAAAGATCAGTGAACAAATATTAATACTCATTTTATGTAATTTTTTCCTGTCATGATGACAGGTGAGGCACTGCTCCATCTGCTCCCCTTGACCGCACATCCCTGTTAGTCCACATTGTTGTGTTATCAAATTCAATCTGAAGAAAGTTAGCAAAGGCAAACACAGTGGTTGATGCTGTGGATGATTTAAATGCAAGTAGGGATTTACTTTAGTTCAACGGATTCATAGAAAAGAAACAGATAAGTTAAATATGATATTTACCTCAGACTTTAGGGGGATCAGTGTAATTTTGACACCTTTGTAATTCATTTTAAATGAGGAAACAGAGGATCACTCTTTTCTTTGACAGTAGGCACAGCCTGCTGGTGAGTCTGACTAGTCATTGCTTTGGAAGAGGGATATACTTGATGTGGCCCTCTCTGCTTGATTGATTGATTGACTTTATTGATGTCACAGTGGAGAACAGCTGAAGTCTCTTATTTAAAAGAATAATTATACAGGGTTAATGCACAGGGTATCAAATGGGTATCTATATCTCTTCATTGCACCGGGTGTTCAATATAATATATAAAAACAGCTTATTGCACAGGGTTTTAAATATTGATTGCACATTAGCTATTGTACAAGTTATTGCAGTTATAGTGCCGCGTTGTAAAGTCTGATTGCAGCAGGGATGAATGACCTGCAGAAAAGCTTTTTACAAACAGGGTGCATAAGTTGAGTTGAAAGCCCTTTTCTTTTGGTTCTGGAGGACTTTCAGCTAAGGTTAGGTTGTTTTGAAAGCTCTGTAGCCATCGTGTATGCACAGTGCTCTCCACACAGAAGGTCATGTAGTCAGTGATGCATTCTGTCAAGCTGTTGATGTCATCACCATGAGAGCCTTAGTTTCTCAGTGGTCTCATCTGACTAAACTTTCACTGACCTCTTTTGCACTGGTATGTAATGGGGAAGCAGGTAAACAAGGTTGTGATCCAAACATCCTAGTGAGGGGAGGGGGCAGAGGTGTAGGCATCCTTAACATTTGCAAAAAGAATGTCGAACGTTTTATTGTCTCTTGTTGTACATTTGACATACTGGGTGGACGTGGGGAGGGTGGAACAGAGAGAGGCGCAGTTGAAGTCTCTGGTGATGAGCTGGAGAGCATGGTGTCCGTGGAGTGGGGGATTTAAAAAAAGAGTACTATAACATTCCCAAACTCTCATGCTCACTATAAGTAGCTCAAAATCCAGGGAGCATACCTGTTCCTTAACATCAACATGAGCCGCGTTACACAATCTCTCACTAACAGACATCACCAGCACCCCCCCTTTTTTTTCCCTCTCCGCTGTCCAGGGAAACCACTGAGTCCAGGAAAAAAACCATCTAACCACGTCTCAGAAGCACATGATACTTCCTATACCTCCTTTGAAATTGGCTTAATGCTGCAAGCTCCTCACTCTTGTTGCGGAAAGATTATACGTTTCCCATGACAACCAATGGCACATACCTTTTCCCCCACTTCATCCTGCCACCCCTGTAGGGGTCTCCACTTATATCATCAAAAATTGCAGAAAGTTGGAGAAAGACTATAGCCCCTAAAGTTGGCTTCCTCTGTACGCATACGTTCCAAAAATCAGATACAGTATTCACTGATAGAAAAACCTTCCAAAAACCACTATAAAGGAGAGAAAGTATAAAAGGAGAGCACAGAGATGACGTAACAGGGTGCTGGATGTGCAGCACCACCTTGGCTGTAGAGAGTAGATTCAGAACGACTGGTTTTCTGACAGAAAAACACACAGACTGTAGAAAGGTCTGAAAAGTCAATAAATATAGCAAAAAAAAAAAACATGCTAAGTTTGCAACAGTGATCAGGATATGGAATTTTCAATTAACAACTTAGAGTATATAGCAAAGTTTTTTATTCTTTTCAAAATGATATTGCATACTTTAGAGAACCAGAAGAACTATGTCCTCAGAAAAAATTAAATTTACAGGCCCCTAAATCAGATCCCCTCTGGCCCCTGGCTGTGCTGAGTATTATTGTCCATACCATATGAACTATATGAACAGGATCTTTGGCAGAAGTTTGTATTTTTGGGAACAATACCAATTTCAGTCTTGGTTCCGAAATGGTTTGTTAATTAACAATTTGAAAAAAAAGTTTAGAATTTTGTTTTCACTTAACAATAAAATACTACTTTGTGTTGGTCTATAACACAAAACATATGAAACATATGGAAATATTGTAGTTGTAATATAACAAGCTCAAAAAAGGAGTATGAATATTTTGCATGGGACTTAATTCCGTAAAAGTTTAAAAAACAATCCACTGGACTTGGTTTCTGGAGGGGAAGACGTTTCGATTCCCCTCCAGGAAGCTTTCTCAATTCAAATGGGACTTAATGCATTTCTTGAAATATTTTTGTACTTTCCCCAAAAATGACAACTATTCACATACAATTATAAAAAAAAAACACCAGAAGGATCTCTATGTTTCATAAATCAAGTAAGTTAACAGTCTTTGTTTTTAACAGAGACAAACCTGGAGACATATTTGGAGGATCTGGGATTGGAACAGTTGCACTGCAAGCACCTGTCCCTAAGTGAGATACTTGAGATCAATAAGAAGACCATCAATGATGAGCCCCCCAAGAGTAAATCTGATGTTTCATGGTATTTCCTTAAGAAGCTGATGATGGCAAATATAACAGCTAGAAAGTTAAAATGCACACCAGCTTCTGAGTCAAACTGTGAAGAGACATTAAGTGCTGAAGAGTTTGATTTTGATCTGCTCGTATGTCCAAACAAGGATGAGTCACTAAATCCTCTTGATATAATCACTGCTCTCTTTCTGTGCTCTGATGGGTTTGTTCAGCAAGAACTGGCCCTAAAAATGTCCATGTGTCAGCTTTCTGTTCCTCTGCTTCTTCCTTGTTGTGATACAAAGCAGTGCACCTTCATGCTGTGGGCCATGAGAGACATTGTTAAGAAGTACAGACCTCCAGATCTTTCAGAATCAAAGGGCTTCATAGAAGAAAGAATAGTGACCTCTGAACTTCCTATGGTCTCTTTTGTGAGACTGGGTGAGTGCTCCATGTCCAAATCAGAAATCCTTAACAAACTTCTAAGCAACTCTGAGCAGTACCATGACACCTTCGTACACCACAACATGGAGTGTGGAGACAGTCCAAGAAGAATATCCAATGGACTGACTGAAATTACCTGGTACCTTCCATGTGGAAACAAAAGCATGGACATTTTCAGTGAGCCAGTAGCTATAGCTAACCTTCGCGGTGACATAGCTACATTTGAAACACAATTCTCCTTTTTGTGCCAGACATCTGCTGCTGTTTTTGTGTTCTTTGATGAGCTGGAGCAGCTAGGATCACAGTTAGAATTGCTGGCTAACACAAACCACAAAGCAAAAATATGCTTGTTGGGAAACCAACAGAGCAAGAACTTTAGAGTCGATAATCTAAAAAAATTGGCAACCAGTTTGGCCTTAACTAATAACAACATTCTAGTAAAGACCAAAGAGATAAATGATGCAGACTTTGTCAAACTATTGAGAAAAAGGGTCAGTAATGTACTTCATTTGGACCACAAGATGTCTTTAGAGAAGATGTCTGATGTTGCCCAGGAACTTGGAATCATTGTTGATGAACACTCTTCAGTGTGCCAGGCTGGAAAGATGAATGCAAATGCCATCACTGCAGCGATTCATGACACACTGAAATTCAAAGAAGATCAGCTTCCTTTACAGGGTCAAATATGGAAGGAGTTGACTTGCTTGGAAAAGGAAGAATTTCGTCTTCGAAATGTTGGTTCAGAAAACATAGAAAATTATAAATGCAGACTTCAGGATAAGATAAATGAATTACGGAAAAAGCAGAATGATAACGATATGTCTGAAGCAATGACATGCTTTATCAATGCCATATCTACTGAAGAGCCAGAAAGGTGCTACTTCCTGAAATGGATGAGAATGAACCTTGATAATCAGTCTCGCATAAAACTCTCTAGCCTAAGGGAGAGGTACAAAGAGAAGAGCAGGGACTCTGAGAACAAACAAGAGATCAAAGAAATAGATAAACAACTTTCCAATAGCTCGTTGGGAGTTGAGCACTTCTTCCGTGAGATGGGTCAGATCTACGAAGCTTCTCTTTCTCTTCCAGAAAATAACTCATCACGTCAACAACTGCAACATCTGCCTAAACTCTGTGCTCAGTTGTTGCTGGATGGATTTCCTCTTGAGCTTGTAGATGGAGATGCTTCAAGCATACCTCTCAGATGGGTGACTGATGTTCTCTATCAGCTCAATCACTTGGTGTCTCCTAAGAACAAGATAGTGGTCGTCACAGTTCTTGGAGTTCAGAGCACAGGGAAATCCACCCTCCTGAACACCATGTTTGGAGTGCAGTTTGCAGTCAGCAGTGGTCGATGCACTAGAGGTGCCTTCATGCTGTTCATCAAAGTCAATGAAGACTTCAGAAATGTTCTAAACTGTGACTTTGTGTTGATCATCGACACTGAAGGCTTAAAGTCTCCTGAACTCGCTCAACTGGACAACAGCCATGAACATGACAATGAGCTGGCAACACTTGTTGTTGGGCTGAGTGATATCACTATTATCAATATTGCAATGGAGAATTCAACAGAAATGAAAGATATCCTGCAGATAGTGGTGCATGCTTTCCTCAGGATGAAGGAGGTCGGCAAAAAGCCCAGATGTCAGTTTGTTCACCAGAATGTTTCTGATGTTTCAGCTCATGAGAAGAACCTACGAGACAGAAAGCTGCTCCTAGAACAGCTGAATGAGATGACCCAGGCAGCAGCTAAAATGGAAAAGAGAGAGAAGAACAAGAAATTCACTGATGTGATGGAGTACAATCCAGACACTGGGAACTGGTACATTCCTGGACTCTGGAATGGAAACCCACCAATGGCACCAGTTAATGCAGGGTACAGTGAGGCTGTCTATGAGCTCAAGAAAAACATCATCCAGCTACTGGGAAAGTGTGAATCAACTTCTAATAACATCTTGGAGTTCAGAGAGTGGATAACCAGCCTGTGGAATGCAGTAAAACATGAAAACTTCATCTTCAGCTTCAGAAACAGTCTGGTAGCTGATGCATACATGAGGCTCTCCACAGAGTACAACAAATGGGAGTGGGAGTTCAAAAAAGGAATGTACAACTGGGCTACTAATGCAGAAAATAAAATTTCTAATTTTGGTACAGTTGCTGCAACATCTGACATATCTGACATGGAGAACTTTATCACTGTGTTAGAAAGTGAAGCAGTCACAGTGCTGATGAAGTTGGAATCAATGATTCTTGAGAACCTGAAGAAATACTTTGAGCAGCCAGAAGGTCATGTTTACCTGGTTGAAAGATACAGAGAGGATTTCTCAAACAGCATAAAGAGTCTTAGAGGAAAAACTGAAAGATCAGTTTTTAAGCAGCTCAGAGTAGCAGCGGACATCAAACAGGGAAAGCAAGAACTGGATAAAATTAAAACCAACTATACAGAAAAAATTGAAAAAGCAGTTTGTGCTTTAATTGATGAGTGCCGTAAGAATAAAGTTGAAATGACAGACAGAGAGCTAGAGGAAAGTTTTGATAGGATGTGGACTAAAACATTGGACACCTTGTCTTTTGCTGCACCACAGACTTTAGATATCTATGCGACTGTTTACTGTCAGTTGCAAACAAATCTTTCACCTAAAGGCGGCCATGCATGTGAACTGTTAAGTAAAAAAAGACTTCAAGACTGTGGATTGGAGCCTTTTACATACACACCTAAAGGAATACGGAAAAACATGAAAGTTGCTTTGAAAGGATGGTGGTCTGAGAAGGATATAGTAAAGGAGAGACAAAACAATGCAAACAGCATCATAGCTGATTGCAGTGAGTTTGTGTTAAGAAAAATGGAAAGGAAAACAAATTATCATGATACTTATATCCAGGAGATCCTTTACCTCATTGATGAGAAGCTGAACAATGATGATGTTAACAGGGACACTGAGTTTGAGGTTTCTCTGAAGCTGCACATCTGTGGATCTGCTGCTAGAGAGTTTGAAAAAATGCACAAAGATTTTATACAAGCAAATGATCCTAAGAGATGTCTGCAGAAAAACAAGGAAAAGTTCTGCATAGATTTTAAAGATGTGTTCAATGAGAGAGATCAGTGCCAGAAGAAAGCTGAAGAATTCACCAACCAATGTCTGAAACCTGCTGTGGAGGACTTTGTCTATCGTTCTCTTGGTTCAGATATTGTTGATAAAATGCTGACAAAAGAAGAGTTCAGCACACGGATGTCCTTCCAGTGTTCAATATTACTGGATTTAATAAAAAAAAAAAACTTTGAAAGCTTTCAGAGATACATTTGCTTATATGAAGATTATGTAAAAGTTTGGATAGGTGATAGAATTAAGGAGAGTTTCTCCTCTGAGTTCTCAGTATGTGAGTTAGAGGACAGACGTCTTCAGTCCTGCAATGAAGACATAAATGTTGCCATTGAAAAAGCAAAAACAGAAAAGACTGACAGTCTGAAGACATTTGTTGAAAATATCTGCAAAGAACTTGGTGATAAACTGGTAATTCCCCAGGATGCTCTCAATGCCTTTATGGTTCTGAACAAAGCTGACCAGGAACAGTTTGCTCACTGGCTCAATGAGTGTGTGAAGGAAATAAAAGAAGCTCTTAAGGAGCAGTTTAAAAACACAGACTTTGAAACAAAACTCAGACAGGTCCATTTAAACACACAGGATGAGCTTTTCAACAGAGTGGTTGGTTGTGGCAAACAGTGTCCATTCTGTAAAATACCCTGTGATGCAGGAGGAGCAGCTCACAGTGAACACTTTGCTTCCCTGCATCGACCAAAGGGTTTGGGTAGGAACAGGTTTGAACATTCAAGAAAGCTTACAACTGACATCTGTTCTTCTGCTGTCATCAGTGACAACAGTTTTCGCTGTAGCGCTACAAACAATGAATGGCATCCTTACAAAGACTATAGCAAGATTTATCCAGACTGGAAAATTACTCCAGATTCAAGTTTTGAGGCATCAGATTATTGGAAATATGTGATGAACAAGTACAACAAGGAATTTGCTGAAGCATATGAAGCGAAGCCTGCTAAGATTCCTGATGGTTGGAAGAAAATCACAGTAGAGCAGGCAAAGGAAAGTCTCAAGAAATCATTCAGCATCAAGTGAAATCATGACTGTCTAGTTAAAAGATTGTATCTGGTTTTAGCATTTAGAGTAGTTGTATATTTTTTCTTTGAAAGTTTTTTTTTTCTTCTCAAAACTCTAACAGCTTACAAATGAAATGTATAATCTCAACTAAACGTATTAAAGAAATAAAGTGTAACACGTCATGCAAATAAAATGAAAACATGGTATTTCTGTATAGATCATAGATCTGTCAAACATAAACAAAGCTTTAGGTTTAGTGTTGTGCTAAAAGACACAGCACTATCCTAATTTTAGCATACCTGCACTGATGTGGGAATTAAGTGAAATGTATGTATATTACTCTGAATCTGTCTCTGTTAGGTTGTGAAACTTATTATTTCTATGAACCTGATCTGCTTGCATTGAAAAAACCTTCAGGTCAAATAGTTTAGGGTCAGTTTTAAACTGAATTGAACTGAGTATAAGGAAAAAAATTGAAAAATGTTATTGTACAGATTTTCTTTTAAGTTGGTTAATTTAATGTCAAACATTCTTTATGGCTTCAGTGATATATATGGTATTGTGTTGGCATTGAAACAATGATTTTCTTTGCCTTTGTATCATAAAAATAAACATTCAGATTAAAATTTTGTTTAGTTATGTTTCTTTTGTTTAGTTTATCCTTTGCTTCTGTTATTTTCTGTTTTTCCTTTTTTTCTACTTATATTTGATTATTTTTTAAATGTACAAATAATATCAGACAGAATAAATTACAAAGAACACGTGGTCAGTAATCATTGATATACATTGTCAATTGTTTTCAAAGATCTTCATATTTTGCTTTTTGCAACCTTATTATAAAAGTTTGTCTTTCCGTGCTGTGAATTTCCTCTACGATGTCCATCCAGTTTATACCGCTAGCGGGTTCTTTTTTGTACCATTGTGTGGAATTTACTTTTTTGCTGCTGCCAACAGAATTTTAAATAAATTATTTTTCTTCTGAATATCTGCTCCCTTTACTTGACTAAAATATGTCAGTATTTTCCTTGGGGTTCTGTACCTCAGTTTCTTATCAATTTCTTTGGCAATTTCTTCCCAAAATTGGGATGAATTGCAGCACTTCCAGAATATATGTGCATGACCCACATTCTGTTCTCCACACAGTCTCCAGCAGGAATGGTTTAAGAATAACAATGCCTTTTTTTTTTATCTTTGGAGTAAAAAAAAGACTAAATTTACAAAAATTTTTTTCCAGTTCCTAGAAATAGTAGTGGTAACCTGCGATTTACAAATAGTGTTCCACATAGGATCACTAATGTCCTCCTGTAGATGGTCTCTAATATACAGCATTGAGGTTTTCCCATTATCTATTAATTCTTTATACAGTGTTGATACCACTTTCCACTTTTGCTTTTATCTGCATCACTTAATATTTGTGTAATTGTATTAATTTCACCTGGGAGCACTGGGCTTATCTCTTTTAAATAATAGTCCTGTAGCTGAAGGTACATGTAAAAATCTTGATTTCCATTATGGAACTCCCTCTGTAGAGTTTGGACACTTAAAATTTGGCTTTTCTTGAGAATTTTTTTCCCGAATGTTTAATCCATTACTTGTCCATTCTTTAAATTTAAAATTTATTCTAAATGGTTTGAAATCTTTGTCATAGGCCAACTAGCTAAATAGACTAATTTCTTCCTCTAACTTAAATTCCAAGGTGATTTTCCTTAATTCTTTGTTTTGCTATTATTAATGGAAAAAGCTCTGTCTAGTTTGGTTTAAGGATAACAATGCCTTTTTTTTCTTTGGAGTAACAAAAAACTTACAAAATTTACAAAAAAAATTTCCAGTTCCTAGAAATAGTAGTGGTAACCTGCGATTTACAAATAGTGTTCCACATATCATCACTTATGTCCTCCTGTAGATGGTCTCTAATATACAGCATTGAGGTTTTCCTATTATCTATTATTTCTTTATACAGTGTTGATATCACTTTTATTTTTATCTGCATCACTTCATATTTGTGTTATTTTATTAATTTCACCTTGGAGGACTGGGCTTAACTCTTTTAAATAGTAGTCCCCTAGCTGAAGGTACATGTAAAAATCTTGATTTCCAAATGGAACTCCCTCTGCAGAGTTTGGACACTTAAAATTTGACCTTTTTTTTGAGAAATATTTCTAGAGAGTTTAATCCTTTACTTGTCCATTCTTTGAATTTAAAATTCATTCTAAATGGTTTGAAATCTGTGGCATAGGCCAACCAGCTAAATAGACTAATTTCTTCCTCTAACTTACATTTTAAACCAAATCTCCAAGGTGATTGAGTCCACTTTCTTTTCATTTTCCTTAATTCTCTGTTTTGCTATTATTAATGGAAAGAGCTCTATCCAGTTTTAGGCTGAGTCCACTGAAGAGTTTAAAACACTGAGAGCTGCAATTGGTCAGCTGTCAATTAGGACAGTCTAGTCTTTAGCAGCAGTCCAACTCTCACTTCAACATAACTTTGGTTGCCAAACAATCATTTCAATCTGTAAAACTCACAGAAAGAGAAAGATGCAATTAGAAGAGTTTATTGATACAATAGTTTGAACTTTGGCGCTCAGGCCTCGGCAGGACACATAAACGCTGATTTATACTTTAATGCAGATAAACTGATGTATGAGAATAAGGATATTCCCCCAAAAAATTGCCGAGGTTCAGGCCTGAGCGCCAGCATATGCAGAAAGCGGAGGGAGAAGGATGAGTACAGAAGGACTTCATTATGCACAGGCTGATACACGTGATAAATGAATGTTCATGACAGGGATCATAGCAGTGAGCATGGTAGAGAGAAAATAAAGGAGTTTGCAGAATGTTTAGCAGGGTGCATTGCAGGAAGCATAGGAAACATTGCGGGGAGCATAGCAGAAAGCAGGGCAGGAAACGACAGGGGATGTGGCGAGGAAGCATGGCAGGGAACAAGGCCAGGGACCACAGGGAGCATGGCAGGGAACAAGGCCAGGGATCACAGGGAGCATGGCAGGGAACACACAGGGAGAATGGCAGGGAACAAGGCAGGGGACCACAGGGAGCATAGCAGGGAGCGTGGCAGGGAACTCACAGGGAGCATGGCAGGGAACAGGGCCAGGGACCACAGGGAGCATGGCAGGGAACACACAGGGAGCATGGCAGGGAACAAGGCAGGGGACCACAGGGAGCATAGCAGGGAGCGTGGCAGGGA